CCTCTTCCTTCTCTTCGACAGGTGATGTCTGTTTGCTGCTGCTGCTGTTGCTACTGCTGCTGCCGCTAGTTCTGCATGTTGCCGTTGCTTCCGCTGCTGGTTGAAACCAAAAGCATTTCCGACCGCGGATTGTATTAAAGATATCGTTGCTCACACCCTCGACATCCTACTTGTACGGTATCCCAGAACGACGATTGAGTTGACCGTTGACCCCCGCCCCCTGTATCACGGACTGGACACATGAGCAGCTCTCTTCCGGCCAAGAATCGCAAGTCAATCTTCTGTACCCCGGAGCAGGAAGGCGAGGTGCTCAACCACCACGCCCGAAGAAGCGCCGCCGCGGCCGCCGTCGCCGCCAACGCGACGTCAAACTCTGCTGCTGCTGCTAACACCACAGCAGGTGCTGGTGCCTCGGCCTCTTCCTCTGGTCTATTCTCGGGGGTAGGAGGTGGTCCCGCCTCGGCCGCTGCTGAACCGGTAACGGTCGGCGGCGCGGACGGCGCCATGGACGACGAGCGTGGGAGCGGCGTCAGCTCTGCCCATCGGCCGTATGTGCCGCGGTGTTTGCTGTGGTCCGACACCGTGCTTTCGACCGAGGGCCATCCGTTCCTGGCGAGCGCTCTGGCCCCGGGCGGGGCGACGACCGCTGCCGCTTCGTCTCTCGGCAACGGCGGCGGGGGCTGCTGTGGCGATAGCGCCGAAGTCGACCTTGGACGGGACGGCGACGGCGATATCGGCCGCCACGACCAGGGCAAGCGGACAAGGGTGTGTTCACCGCCATCGCCATCGACGTCGTCGTCGTCGTCTCCTTCAGTCCCGTTGACAGTCTCTAGCAACACGCAGGTAACCGAGGGCCTCTTTCAGCGGCGTGTCAACCGCGCGTTGCGAGCTTCGGGTGGCAGCGAGGGGGCACGGGAGTGGAAAAGGGCCGAAACGGTGACGTTGGACGGGATGACGACGACGACAGCAGCAGTAGCAGCAGGGGCGGGACCAGGCGCGGGGAAGGGCGGGCGAGACGAACACGGCCGCAACGGTGGCGGTGGTGAGCTGTCGCGGTTGACGTCGTTCGACCCGCGGCATCACTACTCGCCAGCTGTTCGGAGCGAAGGGTTCGTGTCGCGGCCAAAGGATGCCGAACTCGATGTCAAGGTGAGGGAGGGAGGGAGGGAGGGAGGTCCCGAAATGGACGGTGTCAGCAGTGTGTGGTAGTCGTCGCTACTGCATCCGGTTTCGCGGCTCTTCATGCTACCGCATCAAGTGTTTTTAGCGTCTCCGTATTTTTGAACCGTATCGTACAGCCTGGCGTGCTCTCTTTCTCTCTCTCTCTCTCTCTCTCTCTCTTTCGCTCGCTCTCTCGCAACCTGCCGATGTCTCTGGTATAACGACTCTCTGGCTGGGAATGTTTGTCCCCCGCTTGTCAAGATTCGAAATGAGGCATGACGGCGGTTTGCTTACTTTTTTCGGGCTTGCGGTTCGTCTCCCTCCCTCCCTCTCCCCCTCTCTCTGTCTCCCTCTCTCTGCATCTGTCTCTTCCCCCCCCCCCTCTTTTTGTCTCTCCCGGTTTCGTTGGCAGTGCCGCCACACGAGCACGGGTAGACCCACGTGCGACATCCACGCCATCGGTCCCGGGCTTCGAGCGCACATGATGAGCGTGGTGGGGGAGAAGCTTTGGCCGAAAGCGGTTCTGCGGGTGATAGACTGGGTCCGCGACACCGAGTTCTCTCTGGAGCAGGGACAGCAGCAGCAGCAGCAGCAGCAGGTGGAAGATGACCAGGGCAGCAGCAACGGCAACCTCTCCAAGAACACCCGACTCGAGGGCGCCGTTTACCGGTTGCATCAGGTCTTGTAGATGGATGGCCCCATCGGCGGCGACGGCGGCGGCGGGCGGGCGGGCGGGCGGAAGATCTCGATGAACTGTGGATTGATCATACGGGCTACATACAACACATGCATATTAACTTTCGACCCCTCGGAAGCGTTGGTCGTCGGGGTGTTGTGTGTCACCTCCTGTGATAGTTACGTTGGCCAACGGTACAAGACTGCTTTGACCGGATGTTGCATCATGTGTGCTGACACGCTGGTCGGGTTGATTTTGATGTCCGCGCCTGCGTGTGTACAAAAATTTGCTGTGGTGTTGTTTTCTCTTCCATTCCTTGCTGGCAATTGTGTGTTTTGTGTCTCTTGTGGAGGAACCCCCCCTTTTATTGTTATTTTTTATCTCTCCTCTGGCGCATGTCTTGGTGGTCGGTGGTGTGGCAAGCGGCGAGTGCGTTGCGAGTGAATGCGGAGAATTGTACAGTGGACTCGCATTTTCCTATCTATGCATATATACTCATCGGGTGTATTCTTCTATACACTCATTGGGGGTATGCATATGAACATGATCCTGTCGGGGTTTTTTGCTGTATGGCATCACCTGCAGGTTGCGGCAGAGGAGCAGGGGCCGGTGACAAACGCGTTCTCGTTACAAATGCAAAAATTTTACAGATTGTTTGCTCCAATCACCGCCGGCCGTAGTTCACAAGAAAATTGTTCTTTCATCCGTCGCTTGCTGTCTTGTCTGCTTCATTGAGTAGTCCCTCTTGCACGGGAGTGAGAGCCTTGTGCTTGTCGGGTTCTCTGGCAAGGAAGATTATGAAAACATGTGAGACAACGAGGGGGGCATCATTGGGAGGGGTCGGGAAGTGGGAACATTATTTTTGAAGAGAGGGAAGGAGGGAGCGGCCGATAAAGTGGGAAAGAAACCGATCGTGACGCCTTCGAAGAGAGAAAGGGCTGTCACCAGGACTCAAGCGTAGGAGACAGCAGCATTGATTTTTGTCCAGGGCGACCGTGAGAGGGACGATTCAGGGGAAGTATCGCTTAATTAGGCTTCTGGCCTTGTGTTTGGTACCATTGAGAGAGAGAGGTGGACATCATGGGTAACTGGGAGGCGGGTTGATGTATGTGTGGCTGTCATTTGTCGTGGGTAGTCTTGTGTCTTGTTCCCCGCGTGTTCTAGACTAGAGGCAACCGTTGAATAGTTGTCCCTGTTTGGAAGCGAGTGGTGTTGTCTTGGCCGATTCCTTTGTGACGATGGGGCGCGTAGATGAGGGTCCTACACCATTGTCGTTTCCTTCCCCCTCCCCTCCCCCCCCCC